CAGCTGCTCCCACAGCGCTGTGCTCAGACCCCTCACAGCTCCATTCCCTTCTCTGGACACCCTGGATGTCAGGTCTTGAGCCACGTCCTCTCCCCTCTCGGCAGAGGGCACGAGGCCAGGGCTTGGCTCCATGCCTCCCTCCGTGTACACCCTGCAGCGCTGCATGCTCGGCATTCCTGCTCTGTGCTGGAGCAGTGCAGCACGGAGCCTCTGGCCCCCAAAACCTCACGGCCACGATTTCACCCTCTGTGCCCTTCAGCACTGCTGCAGCTTTCCTGGGTCCCCCAGTTACAAAGCAGAGGAGAAGGACCAGGGAAGGAGTTAACAGAGGACGGAGGTTGACTCACAGCTGTAAGCTCTGCTGGAAACCTGGCCAGCTCAGCCAGACTGCAAGCTGGCACCCAGGGCACGGCTCTGCAGCAGAGCTGTCCTCCCCTCTCCCAGTCCTCTCCTCTGCCCCATGAGGATGGCAAGAAGCACCCCCAACCCTTGCCTGGATTAAGGGTATGGATGACACGCTGGAAATGCACCGGGTCTGTGTTGTCAACCCTGCGCCGTAGGAAGCATCTCACGCCCCAAAGTAATCACTCCAAAAGTATTTGTGATTCACAGGATTCCTGCAGCCCCTGCGGGCCTGTCCCACGCGGCAGGAAGGCTGAGGTCATGGCCGAGCTGCACGCGGCTCAGCGCGGAGTTGGCACCGATGGGTTCGACCCATGGCATCGAGCAGACCTCGGGCACGGCCAAGGTGGCCCCCAGGGATGGTCAAAGCTCCCCCCTTCAGCAAATATTCGCCGCCCTCCAGATGGAATAACAACAAAAGCTCAGGGACGTGGGTCAAGGAAATGAGAAGGGGTGAGCGGGGCAATAGGAAGCGGCTGTAACCATCTCCTGTCCCTGCTGGACTGGCGCTCCACCCACAGCAAGGCACATAAAAATGCTGTTTTGCATGGTTTTGATGTGCATGAGAGCATGCCGTGGAACAAGGAGGTTTCTTAGGGACCCCAGCATGCAGTGGGGACAGACATCGGGTGGGGTGATGGTGGGGAGGACACCGGCTCCTTCTGCTGGGGTCAAGGCAGAGCGGGCCACCTCACCTTGGCACACCAAGGTGGAATGGCTCCTGCATGTGCGAGACATCCCCTACCTTGGTGGCTTTGCTTCCCCAGTGCCATGAGCAGGGGGACAGCATGACTTGTGGCTTGGGGACCCAGCATGTCAATGGAGTTGCACGGGGTCCCTGCCCTGCACCCGGCCTGGGGACACAGAAGGTGCAGGAGCTCTCCAGGAAGCCCCCCCAGCTCCGCTTCCTTCCCCTCCACCCACACACATGTCACCACTGAGTGCTGAGAGTGGAGCTGTGGGCACTGCTCAGTCCTGCCAGGTCCCAGCAAAGGACACCTCTGGGTTTGGCAGCTGTGGAGACAGAGGTTGGAGCCTGCAGGCATGTTCTGCCCTCCCAATGCCCCCAGCTTTTGCTCTAGTATCTTCACCCTATGTATCCCCCTCCTGTTTGGAAGAAGCCTTTGTCCCCTCGCTCTCCACCTCCCCAAGCAGGAGGAGAAGACTCCAAGCACCTTCTTGGGTCCCCCCATCTGAGCCCTCCTCACCGTGCCTGGGGCTGGGACACAACACCAGCCAGCACGTCAGAGCCGCTGGGAACGAGCGATGTTCCTGCATGGCATGCGGCCCCGACAGCGCTGGCTCTGCTTTAAAGAGTAACTTTATCCTGTAATAACAAACAAGAGGAGCCAAGCTCCTCCCCAGCACCGCTTCCTTGGCTCCAAGGAGGAGGACAGCAAAGAGAAAGCCAATCTGAGCTGCCAAAGTGTGCTGCTGGTGGGGCCAAGGATGCGGCAGGGGATGCTCAGCGGGAATGACCCCTCCAGCATGGCCCCTCCTGCTGCAGGGCTGAGCACAGCATGCCCCAGCTCTGGGTGACTGGACCTCTTCCACCATCTCCGTGGCTCCCAGAGCATGGATGGGAGACCTCCAGTTGGAAGATCTAACCTGCCACATGTCCAAGCCCAAGCGTGTTCCCCATAAAGCCAATGGGACCTGCCCAAGTTTCTCCTGCAGGCACCAAAGGGTCCCACCCTGCCCAGCACCCCGGGGAGACAGGGGAGTCCCCATCCCTGGAGATGTCTGAGGACCATGAAGATGTGGCACTGAGGGATGTGGTCAGTGGGCACGGTGGGGTGGGTTGAGAGGAAGCACCGGGCAGGATCAGTCCAGCTTATGGTGAGCAGAGACAGCAAGGAGGGAACCGTGGAACCTCCAAAACACAACAACCCCAGCATCCTCTGTCACTATGGGAAAGGGCCAGGAAGGAGCCCTTGGGACACAAAATGGCTGGGGAAGATGCTGGTCTCCAGGAGGACAAAGGCAGCACTGAGCTGCCAGCACACAGCAGCCATGGAGCCACTTGCCCAGGCTGCCAGGGCAGGGAGCAGCAGGGCAGGCAGCAGTGGGGCTTGGGGAGCTAACAATAACACAAAGGAGGGGATGCTGGTGGGGCTGGGGGGCCAGATAGCAAACAGTCGCCCCAACCCCACGGCTGCGGTGCGCAGGAGGAAGCCTTGGTGCATTATCTGCTGGCCCCAGCGCTGCCTGGGCCAGGGTGTGCTTCCTGCCCGGCCGTGTTTCTCCCACAGCCAGCACCCTCCTCTGCAGCAGATCCCCTGGTGACAGGGCTGACAGCAGTCACTGGCACCGCAGTGTCATGGATGTGACCACCCTGTTGCCCCAGCTCTCTGTCCCGTGGGTAATGTGGGAGATGAAGGAGATGCAGACTCACTCAGGTCCCGGCTGAGGTCCCCGCACTTCTTGCTTATTCTGCTCCAGCGATGCTCTGGAGCTCCAACACCAGCCGTGCTGCCGGTCTGTGTCCTCACCAGCTGGTTTCTGACCTGCCTCCTGCTGCTGCTCCACCTCCCAGCGCTGAGGCCAGCAGGTCAAACAGTGGAGCAGCCCCACACCATCCCCACTCTCTTCTTTCGCTCCTCTCCTCCTGGAGCAGCGTTGCCATCCATGGGGCTCTTGGCCCACCTGGTGCAGAACCTGCCCCTAGGTCCCCATCCCACCGGGACTCCCTGTGTCCTTCTCACCCTGTCCTGACACCTGGAGGTGTCCCACTGCAGCTCCTAGTGCAACATGCCTTTGTCAGACCAGGTAGGAGACCCTGAGAAGTGACTTGAAGTTGCCTTGGAGGGCAAACTCCTTAATTTCTCTGGGGCCACATCATCTTGCAGATGTGCATCTTGCAAGATGGGCAATGCTCAGCCCAGTCAAGTTTGCACCTGTCCTGTGGCTAAAGATATAAAACTGGGAGATCCCATTTAAGCTGCTGAATGCAGTTGGATCCTAAATCCTCCATGCTCCATGTTCCAGCTTGCTGCACTCTCACAGAGCCAGGTGGGGTCGGCATCCCCTGCTGAGCCCTGGGCAAAGTGCTCTCCCTGCTGCCTACCCATCTCCCACAGCCTCTATGGCAGTGTCCCAACGGACAGCAGCAGCAGGAAAGGACAGGCATGGAAGGAGGAGAATGCTGGAAGAACGAAGAAATCAAAGAGAGCCAGCAATCTGTTCCCTGGTGAGCAGAGAGGCAGTGGGAGCGACCCGGCTCTGACACGGCGAGCAGGGGGAACGCAGGGCTCTGACACTGCCCAGAGCTGGGAGATAAGGCTGACACAAAGGGCAAAGCCAGCGAAAGGGAGTGAGCAAGGCAGGAAACATCGGGCTGGAGAGGAAGTGTGGAGATAATCAGCTGCATGAGCACAAACACCCGGAACCTGTGCAAAGGAAGAGCCCACACCGCTTAGCAAAAGCGCTGGAGCGGGGAGACCTCACCCCTCATCCAGCCTTCCTGAGAGTACGGTACAGATGGACCCCATCTCCACCCAGCAATACTCCCAGCACCCCTCAGCTTTGTAGGGGCAGCTTGATTCTCTTCTCAGCCTGCCTGGGAACCCCAGGATGGAGGGATAAGCTCACAAGCTCTGGCAGCTCTCCCATCCACGGTCATGGAAAGCTGGCCCAGGCTGGGACACAGCTGCAGGTGCTCCCTGCTGTCCCTTTTCCTGTCCTCTCCAAAGTCCAGGCTGCTAAATGTCACTGGCTTGGGGGCACACAGAGCTGAAAATACTCACTGCTGGGACTCAGTGGGCTGCGGGGCAGAGCAGGCTGGGGCCAGGGCTTGCTGGAGATCTCTAAGGCACGGCAGGGCCAAGCCATGGTCCCAGCAAGGCCATCTGTCCCAGTGCTCAGACAGATTGCAGAAGGGAGCCTGAGCAAGGGAGATTGGTTGGGAAGTGAGGGGCTCAGGGGAAAGCTGTGGGATTTCATCTCCTACAAGATGGGTTGCTCTGATCTCCTGATCTTGAAGGAGCATCTGGCTGCTTTTCCCCATAGTCCCCCAAGAGGAAGATCCATTCAGAAGGGGAAAGTACGGGTGGAAAACTTTTTAAAACTGGGAAAAACCACCTCTGGGGCTGCTACCACCTCCAGAACAAAATCACGCAGTCCAGAGCTGCTCAACCCAATTAAGAAGCCCTGCCTGCTGCAGAAGCCCAGTTATTGCTGTTCTCAGCCTCTCCATGCAGAAGTGCCGTTCCCATGCTGTGCTCCCTTTAGGATTGGATTTCCCATACCCAAAGGTATTGTGCCCACTTACAGCTCAAAATTGGGAATGGCCAGCTGCCTGGGATCACCACATGGGCTGTGGCACTGCCGGACATCTCAGCCCCAAGGCTGCTCACGCAGACACTGCATCCAGCACAAAGTCCACCAAGAGATTTGTAGCAGAGAGACTCCGCTGGAGCCAGGCGTTGGGCAGAAGAATGGCAGAGAGCAGGCACACTGAGCAGGGCTTTGGGCTGCTGAGTCACCCAGTGGGACGAGCCCTCTGTTCAGACACACTGCTCGAACGGCGGGTTATTTTGTACAGAGAGCAGCTTTGGGCCAGGGCAGGAACAGTCTCACTGAGAGCACAGGGAAAAGCATTACTTGACCATTGCGTTTATTAGCCATTCAGATGCAGGGATCACAGCCTGCCCTGCACAGCCAGTGGCAGAGTCCTGGGTAGGTTACTTGCATGCCACGCCGTGATGATCATCCTGGGGACTCAGGGTACCCCTGGCACTGCGTGGTCCCTCAAAGGGCTCACCATGGAATTGCTTTGCCTTCCCAGTTGAGCAGCATCCCGCTGTGCTTCTCAGAGAGGATGGGCAGCACTGACAGCAGCCCCCGCACACTCGTGTCCACCGTCAGGTCAGCCTGCAAAGGGCATCGGTGAGGAGCAGGGCTGAGACCCACCGGCACACATCCCGGCTCACACCCATCCCAGCAAAGCACCCTGCCCCCATGCTGGGGAGAGCCACAGGAGACGGGATGGATCGCTCATGTGGGAGAACATTTGGGTATCTGCGTGGTTTGGATGGAGGTGGCTGGGGCTTAGAAGCCAGCTGCAGGTTTGGGAGCAGCTCCAGGAACCAGGCACACAGAGCTGAGCCACATAGAAAGTCCTGCTGCAAGTGGGATGCTACGTGCAGGTTTATCCATGCCCCGTGGTTACAGGGACCCCACTCCCTCCCCCAAAACAGGGATCCTGCAGTGTGAACAACCCCTTACAGGATGAGTCCTACAAGATGGAGGTCTCATCACTGCACATGTATGGGACGGCCCAAAGCCTTGTCCCCCTGAACCAGCCTCCTCCAGCCTCGGATGAAGGCTCTGGCACAGGACATGTACCGATGCCACTTCCCAAGTGCACCATGCAGAGAGGCCCACGTCCTGCAGAAGCTCAGCCTGCACCCACCTCCTGGGTGCCCATGTCAGTTTTCACCCAGCCGGGGTGAAGTGCCACGCACAGGATCCCAGCCTCACCATAAGTCAGAGCCTGGCACATGGTGAGCATGTTGAGGGCAGCCTGGGGGAGGAAGAAAGCATTAGAATGTGCCGTGCACCAACCTCCAACCCCATCTGTGCCTCAAGGTGAGGGAGAAAAAACAACGCCAGATTTTCAGGAGATGGTGAACGGTGCAAGTGTCCCCTAGGTGGGCAGGGAACGGGCACGCAGGTGCCCAGAGAACTTACATAGTGATCAACACATTTATGTTACTCCATCTCATAAGCTCAGCTGCTGCCCTAAGAGCAGGCCTGGCAAGGGCCAGCTCTGACTCCCAGCCAGCTCCTGAGCCCCCATCTCCTTACCTTGCTGCAGCGGTAGGAGATGACCGGCTTGAAGTAGGACTCAGGAGTTCCCTTGATGGACCCCAAGAAGGAGGAGATGTTGATGATGGCTGCCTTGTTGCAACTCAGTCTTTTTTCCTTGCCGTCCTGGGCAGCCTTCTTCAAGAGGGGCAGGAACGCCTGGGGACGAGCAGCCTGGTGGGTGCCCATGCCCCAAGCTGGCCCAGCTGCTGCTGCCCAGCGAGGGCAGGAAGCCAAGAGAGAGGGTGTGAGCACCAGCTGGCACCATCCTCTCCTTCCCACAGCCTCAGGAAACTTCAGAAAGCCTTACGGGACCTTCATAGTGACCGGAGAGGCGCACGGCTGCAGCCAAAAGGAACAGAAGGCAGAGTTACCTGGGCCATCAGCAGCGGTCCCACTGCATTGGTCTTGTATGCCCGTATCATATCTTCAGAGTCCACTGTCTCCAGTGACACCGGGGTAAAGATGCCAGCATTGTTTATCAGCAGGTTCAGCCCTGCGCCGTTCAGCTTCCCCTCCACAATCTTTGCCGCGTTGACAATCGCTGAGGGATCTGCAACATCTGCAAGAGGCACAGAATGGGCTTCGGTGCCATTTCCCCCAGCGCAGAAGGGTGCTTAGATTTGTTCCTGAACGCTGAACACCCTCGTAATCCCTGGGGCTGGAGTCCACCCGAGGGGCTTGGGGGGAAGGTACGGGTTGAGCTCCCGAGAGCAGTCGGGCGTCTCAAACTGCGCCGTCTGTTCCCCCTGTAGGCACCAGAGGGTGCTGCGCAACCGGCCCACAGCACCCAGGCACCAAAATCTCTGCAATGCGCGGGGATCCCTGCAGACAACCTCACGGTGGGAAAGTGCTGCTGCAGCGTTCCTGGGGGGGGGCGGTCCCCAGAGACAGCCCATGGTTGGTCTCCAGAAGCTGCCCGTCCTGTGGCCACAGGGAGCGGGATGCTGCGGCTGTGAGAGGTGTGGGATGAGGCAGGGATTGGAGGAATTGGGCTTCGGGTGGTAGCAGCACTTGAAGGCAGATGCTGGGATGTGGAGTCAAACGCAGAGCCTGCGGCCAGGGTCGGGAGGAGAAATGGGGCCAGCGTGGTAGGTGGCACGAAGGTATCAGCCGACAGCCAGGGCACACCTACCCAGCTTCACCAGCATCAGGTTTGGGTGTTTAGATGCCAGATCTCTCAGATCCTGCGAAAAGAAACACAGAAACAGTTAGCAGGAGGTGGCTGTGATGCCAAGAGCAATGCCAGGGTGCCCACGGTCACCCATTCTGAAGGCTGGGGAAGACTTATCTGGATGCAAACAGCACAGTCACAGGTTCTGGATGCTCCAGGCGCTACATCTCACCTGCCCAGCCGAAATGGATCCCTCTGCTCAGAGCTTTCCTTACCTCTAGCAAGTTGTAGACAACAAGACCGCATTCAGTGTGCCCAAATTGATTACAAGCTCTCACGAAGAGGCCCACAGAGAATGCTACAGGGAAGAAACTGCTCCCAGTACCCAACCCGAACCTCCTCTGGTGCAATTTAAGGCCATTACCACCAACACCTCCCGCCACCGTGGCGCAGGGTAAACACTGACCCTGGCTGTCACCATCAGGCTGCGTGTCCCGTGTCCCCACGTCACCCCTGCGCACAGGCAACGCTGGCAGACGCTCCTCCCCCCGCCTGCTGCCCAGCTGCCTCTCAACCCCAACATCCAAAGGGCGATGAGGAGCGACAGCACTGAGCTGCTCCCTCCCCTATGTCTGCTCCACAGCCGAACGAGGGTGGTACAACGGCTGCATTCGAACACCAGTGGCCCCCAGCCCTGCCCGCAGCACTGCTCGGCAGCCCCGCGCCATCCCGCAGCCCGCCCGCCCCGTCCCCCACCCGCACGCTGACCTTCCCCCGCGGTCCCTCTGGGTCCCGGCAGGTCGCAAAGATGTGGGTGGGTGGGTGAGGACCCCCGAGCAGCTGCCTGACCAACTCCAGCCCGATGCCGCGGTTGGAGCCGGTGAGCAGCACACACTGGGCTCGCAGAGCCGCCATGCCCCCCGCCTGCCCGCTGCCAGGGGACGGCCCAGCCTGGCACCTCCCTCCTAGGGCCCAACGCAACGCTTTGGCCCAGCGTGCACGGTGCGCGTCGTTGCGGTGCTGGTTTATGTTCCTTTTTTACACAAACACGGAACTAAAACACCGCCGGCGCAAGTAAATAGAGCAGCAGATCGATCGCGAGTAGTAAAAAGGGCCCTGAGAAAAGCGTCACCCCGAGCAGCTCTCGTTGGGTGCTCTCCAGGCTGTGTGTTGCTTGCTCCGTTCTGGGCTTTGGAACAGGAATTCTGTTAGCTAAATGTTGTGAGCGTTGCGTGAGATTGCAAGGGGAAAGGAAATGGGGAAAGGAAAAAAGAGAAAAGGAAGAATAAAGGAAGAAAAGAGAAGAAAGGAGAAAGGAAAAAGAGGAAGAAAGAAATGAAGAAGGAAGAAAGAGGGAAAGAAAGAGAAAGAGGAGAGGAGGGAAGGGAAGGGAAGGGAAGGGAAGGGAAGGGAAGGGAAGGGAAGGGAAGGGAAGGGAAGGGAAGGGAAGGGAAGGGAAGGGAAGGGAAGGGAAGGGAAGGGAAGGGAAGGGGAAAGGGGAAAGGGGAAAGGGGAAAGGGAAGGGAAGGGGAAAGGGGAAAGAAAAGAGGAAAGAGGAAAGGAAAGGGGAAAGAGGAAAGGAAAGAGGAAAGGAAAGGGGAAAGGGAAAGGGAAAAGGAAAGGGAAAGGGAAAGGGAAAGGGAAAGGGAAAGGGAAAGGGAAAGGGAAAGGGAAAGGGAAAGGGAAAGGGAAAGGGAAAGGGAAAAGAAAGGAAAGGCTTTGTTAATGTCCTGCAGCCTGTTAAAACATTGTTCTATTATCAAACTTTGTGGTGCTTGAGTGTAGAAATAGGAGTACATTTTCAAATGCTGTGCTTTTATCTGTAACTTTTACCCTTTATGAGATCAGTGTTGTGAGTGTGCATGTGGTGATAGCAGGTATGATTACAGCTCCTGGCACGTTCAAGGTTTTGTGGGAAGGCTTGCAAAGTAATCAGAGATGATTGCTGCAAATAAAGCAATGGGAGTCATATCAGGAGCTTTGGAGCCCACAAACTTTCTGATTTGAAATGGCAGAGAGCACGGAGTAGCAGTTACATCATCTGCACCATCATTATGTTATATTGTTACTGTACTGATGTGAAAGCACATCTCTCGGGCTGCCTTTCCCCTTCCCCAGACCTCCCAATGTCCAAGCAAGAATTTTACCTTGTGTCTTTCCATGGGCCTCCCTGCATGGAGGAGTCTTGCAGATCCATCACAGTGTGTTGTAGTGTTGTCATGTTGGCATGGAACAGGCTTCCCAGGGTAGTGGTCAGGGCCTCGAGCTGCCAGAGCTCAGGGAGTGCTGGGACACTGCTCTTGGATATGTGTTTTAATTCTTAGGCTGCCTTGTGTGGAGTCAGGATGCTGGATTTCATTATCCTTGTGAGTTCCTTGTAACTCAGGTTGTGCTATCATTCTGTGCTCAAAGAGAGAAATAAAGAAAAAAAGCAGGGAAGGGGAAGGGGAAGGGGAAGGGGAAGGGGAAGGGGAAGGGGAAGGCGAGAGGAGAGGAGAGGAGAGGAGAGGAGAGGAGAGGAGAGGAGAGGAGAGGAGAGGAGAGGAGAGGAGAGGAGAGGAGAGGAGAGGAGAGGAGAGGAGAGGAGAGGAGAGGAGAGGAGAGGAGAGGAGAGGAGAGGAGAGGAGAGGAGAGGAGAGGAGAGGAGAGGAGAGGAGAGGAGAGGAGAGGAGAGGAGAGGAGAGGAGAGGAGAGGAGGAAAAGCCTTGGTAATTTTCTGAGGCCTGGTAAAGCATGATTGTTCTATTATCAAATTTTGGGGTGCTTGAGTGTAGAAATAGGAGTACATTTTCAAATGCTGTGCTTTTATCTGTAACTTTTACCCTTTATGAGATCAGTGTTGTGAGTGTGCATGTGGTGATAGCAGGTATGATTACAGCTCCTGGCACGTTCAAGGTTTTGTGGGAAGGCTTGCAAAGTAATCAGAGATGATTGCTGCAAATAAAGCAATGGGAGTCGTATCAGGAGCTTTGGAGCCCACAAACTTTCTGATTTGAAATGGCAGAGAGCACGGAGTAGCAGTTACATCATCTGCACCATCATTATGTTATATTGTTACTGTACTGATGTGAAAGCACATCTCTCGGGCTGCCTTTCCCCTTCCCCAGACCTCCCAATGTCCAAGCAAGAATTTTACCTTGTGTCTTTCCATGGGCCTCCCTGCATGGAGGAGTCTTGCAGATCTACCACAAAGTGTTCCAATGTTGTCAGCTAATTAAACATGAATTCCTTCCAGCTAAGGATGTCCTGTGATTCTATGTCCTCAGGTCTGTCTTGGGTACACAACCACATCTTCCATGTTGTATTCCAGGAGCCCAAGCACTTCTCTTCTCCCTGCCATCTACTCAAGCTTCAACCAGAAGGTGGTTGTGCCTCTTTGCTATACTAAAATTCAGCAGCACTGAAAGAAGTCTGCCTCCTCTGTGCTCCTTCCCATAGAAGCCAAAAGAGTTACCTGATGCTGCTCCCCCTCCATTTCCTCATTCTTGCTTGGGTGCAAGCGCTCTCTGCTTTTTGGACCTTGCTTGGCCTTGTGGTCAGCTCCCATCAGCATCCAGCGTGTCTCCATCGAAACTTCCGTGTCTGCTTTTTGCAATCAGACAGTTTGAGGCCTTCAGAAATGCTTTGCTTACAAGAAGCTCTTGGCTCAGGAAGTCTGGTCTGAACCAGAAAATCCACCGTGAGGTTCAGAAAGAGGCATCTCCTTAGTCTCTCTCTGGATCCCTGCACAGACCCTTCGCACAGTGGAGTCAGTAGCACTTTTCAGCCAAACAAGGAAATGAGTCACAGAAGGCTGACAGGACTTGCCCAGCTTCAGCATTCAGGCAGTGGCAGGAGTAAGCCCCAAGCCACCCGTGATAAGCTGTTCATTCATCGCTGCCCTTTTGTTCTTTAGTAAATGATTAACAGGTGAAGACATGAGCCTGGTTAGCCTTGAAGACATTGTAAAGTCATGAATCTTGATAAAAGGCAGCACTTTTACTGCTGCTTACACGGTGGATTAAACACGGTAAATATAACTGTGCAATGCCCGTTTCTCAGCCTAACAAACAACTTTGTAATTGCCCTTTGTGCAAACAACTGCATGGGTGTGAACAGAATCGAGCTTTCAGCCACTGATAGCATGGAAGGTGAGGTCATGTCCTGAATCCATGCAGCATGATTAGGCAGAAATTGCCCGCGTGAGACTTGGGGAGGGCAACGCTTTTGACAAGGCTCCATGGCCAGCACAGCAAGGAGGGTCGTTGTCTTCTACAAATGGCATGTATCAGCTGATAGAGTGGTGGTCTGTGGCTGTGAAAAGATAGTGAAAATACAGAGAAAAGGCCAAGGAAAAGAACTATGGGGGCTAGAAAGCCAGTCCTGCACTTTGGGAGGTGTGCTGAGGCAGAGAGAATGAACAGCACTCAATGAGAGACCAGCCTCAGACAGAACTCATGGGGAGAGAAGCTGGAAGGCTCAGAGGTTCAAAGCGCTGCTGAGACAGAGCAATGTTGCACCAAGAAGCTGAAAGTATGGCCTTGGTGGGCTAGCACAGCAGGAACAGATCATAGCACGATGGTGCAGAAAGTTGTGTGGGGCCACAAGGAGGATGTGTCATGAAATAAAAGCAACAGACAGCAGAAAGGAAAGGGGAAATGTGTTGCCTAGGTCACAACGTCTTCGTAAGGGCATGAAATGGGAGTGCTTAACGTGATGATATTGTACCTGCAGAGTCTGGTGAAGAGCAGCAGCAGAACTTAACAAATAAGTTAGCAGGGAAATTTTCCCCCCAGGCCAAGAGGCAGAACCATTGGGTATGGCCTGATGGCAAACATTGCATGCCATTTCTGTGCCGGGCAGGAAGCAGATTTGTGTGCAGTTCTGACATCTGAGCTGGGCTGTGTCTCCTGCTGAGATGTGGTGGCAGGGTGTGTGCCAAATTCAGCTCTCTCACAGGCGTGTGCATGGAAATGTTGTTTCAAAGCCATGACAGCAGAAGCTTTAAAATGTTTTGTGTAAAATTCTTTCTAATAGTCCTGGCAACAAACTGATGGCCACCAGTGACGTATTTATCAGCAGTGGGATCCACATCTAGATGAGGAGCATGTTGATATGACAAAACGCACTAATCTGTCCTGTTCTGGATGAAGAAGTACTGTGATAGCCCAAGGCAGGGCATGGGGAGAGCCTGGTGACAGCAGGCATGGAGCAGAAGACAGTTTTTCATGGAGCTGGGCCATCATGCCTCAGGTCAGTGGCCCAAATGTGGGCACTGGCAGACGGCGGGTGGGAGAGGAGTGAGGCAGGCAGGACTACCTGCTCTGGTGGCTCCACAGTGATCTTAAGATTGGCCGGACATGGAGAGGGGCCAGCAGGATGTATGGCTGGGCACAGCAGGGCTTTGGAGCAGTTCTGGCAGCCTGGATGGGGGGAAGATGCTCTGCTTGACTCTACCGCCAAGACAACGCAATGGGAGAAGCCAATATACCTGCACTGTTCAGTGACTACAGCACTGCTCATCAGCCCGTCAGCCTGTGCCCCTGCCTTTGGACTCAGTGCTCCAAAGAACAACTCTGCCAACAGAAACACTGGACATGGGGCATTTGCTTGCAAGAAAGGAAAGCACAGAACACCAACTTGTGGCCATCTGAGCAACAATCTGACTGCGACAGACAGGGAAAGGGGAATGAGATCACCTCAGACTGGTTGATGCATGGCTGCGATCTGCTACACCCATCTGGCTTGAGATGCAGGTGCAGCAGCTCAGTGGAAGTCCTGCAGACCCACGGGGCATCGTGTCTCCTTCCCACTTGCTGCTTCCACTGTCTGCACACAGCAAGGCTTCTCCTGGCCAGGGCTGCTGCTGGCTTCTGATTTACGAGGTCAGGAATCACCAGACAGCCAGATTGTCCTTAAAAAAAAAAGAGACTTTGGCCCTTTAGTAAGGCTGGATCCCAGCCAGGAGCATTTTCCTGGAAAGTTCTGAGCAGGTTGGATTGTACCCAGAACCGAGGGTTTGCGCAAGCTCAGTGTGAGTAGGCTATAAGTCGAGCAAGCTATAAGAAGCATTTGGGCACTGAGCAAACAACGTGTGCTGAGCAGAAGCAGGAGAAGCAACATGGGAGAGCTGCGTGTCCGCTCCGCTCTGGTGACTGGGGCCAACCGGGGAATCGGCCTGGGCTTTGTCCAGCACCTGCTGGCATTGCCAAACCCACCTGAGTGGGTCTTTGCAGGCTGCCGGGATCCCAAGGGACAGCGAGCGCAGGTGAGGCTGGGCTGGAGCTGAGGTGGGGGACAGCAGGGCTGCTGCAGGAGGGAGGATGTGGGAGGGTCTCCGCCAGGGAGCTGCAGCCCTGGACCTCAGGCACAGGAGAACTGGGGTGGGATGGCCATAGGCAAACAATGGGGTGCCCAGGGTTCCTTGGGCTTGGGTGCTGCTGCCACTGCCTGGCACCGTGTGCCCCAGGGCTGCAGGCAAAGGGCTGGTGTTGGCTGAGCAGCTCAGAGTGCGACACAAGGCTCACATCAGCTGTCTTCTACAGGAGCTGCAGAAATTGGCCTCCAAGCACCCCAACCTGGTCATCATCCCGCTCGGTAGGTGACACAGCTGGAGCACAAGGCTGCCTCCCTGGGCTCCCTGCTCTACCAGCACGCCGTCCTCCCCCATCCCTGGTGCAGGGCTCTGTCCCAGCACTGTGCCTGCTGGCAGACACCGAGGGCAGCGGGCGCTCACCTCCCCACCTCGCCTCTGCAGAAGTCACCGATCCCGCCAGCATCAAGGCGGCCGCAGCCAGCGTCGGGGAGCGCCTCAAGGGCTCGGGGCTGAACCTCCTCATCAACAACGCTGGGATCGTAAGGGCAAACAAGCTTGACAATGAAACACTGAAGGACATGGCCGAGGTGTACACCACCAACACCATCGCACCTCTGCTGCTCAGCCAGGTAATGTGCTCACCCACAGCTCCAGGAACATCCCTGTACTGCATCCCTGAGATCCTCATTGCAGGAAGGATGGGGCTCGTGGGACAGGGCCCTCCTCTACTCACTGCCTGCTGAGTCCTGCCCTGGTGTCAGGTCCTTCACACTCCAAGTTCTCTTCCTGTCAGAAGTAGGTGTTCAAACCAGCCCTGGAAAGGCTGAGCACACGATGCTCTTTCCTGGTTGGGACGTGTCAGTGGATTGCAGAATACGGCACCTTGGAGTTTGAGTCCACTCACTGTGAGATGGTAACAGTGCAGAGGTACAGGCCATGCCAGAGAGCAGAGTATCATGATCTGCCAGGAGAACAAGAATTTGCACTCTGCCTTTCTTCTGAGCACTGATGGGTGGCTGAATGCTTTCTGTGGCTGCTTGCTGATGCTGTCTGATGTCCCTCCTTGGAGATGCTCAAAAGTCACCCAGACGTGGTCTTGGGCAATGGGCTCTTGGTGACTCTGCTTGGATAGGGGAGGTTGCACCAGATGATCCACAGAGATATCTGCAAACAACAACTGTTCTCTGATTCTGCTCCTCTGATATGACCTGCTATGCAAGGAAACATGCCCACCCAGTGAGTCTCCTCTATGCTTCTCCTTTACCTCCCCACAGGCGCTTCTGCCACTGCTGAAGAAGGCAGCCCAGGGGAGCCCAGGCTCAGGGTTGAGCTGCAGCAAGGCAGCCATCGTCAACATTTCCAGTAATGGGGGTTCAATCAAAGAAGTCTACTTATGGGAAGGCATACAAGCTGTCAATTATCGCTGCAGCAAGGTATGTGCCACGTTGAGCGTGAGTCAACCTTCTTCTATCTGCCAGGGACTTCATGTGCTCTCCAGTGTCATCTTTGACAGACTCTGAATCTCTCTGCTGTGGCTGAGCTCCTGACAGTCCCTACACCTCTCTCACAGCACGATGCCCCTGTTCCCCACCTGATCCCCATGCTGTCTCCACAGGCTGCTCTCAACATGCTCACCAGGTGCCAGTCCATGGGGTACCGGGAACACGGCATCTTCACTGTTGCTTTCCATCCTGGCTGGGTGCAAACAGACTTGGGACGTGAAGGGGGAGCTGAGGTAGGAGCTTCCCCACCTTGAGTCCATGCACAGCCTGTGCTGGTCTCCCACGGAGGCTGCTGTCTCCCGGAGCCCTGCACCAAGGCCCCCTCAGGGGGCTGCTCCGTCAGCACCATGGCAGCTCTCCCTGCCCTGGGAGCCCTGCGCAGCGCCAGCCCCGGCTCCTGGCAGCCCCGCCGCCCGCCTTCCCAGCTCTCACCCTCCTCCCAGGGCTCTGCTTCCCCCTGGTCCCGGCCGCTGCCTTCCCGCAGCCGGGCTCCAGGGCACAGCCTGGGCAGCCCTTGGGCACACACGCCTGCGTTTCTCCCTCTGCCCTGCAGCCCCCCGTGACGGTGGACGCGAGCGTAGGAGGGATGCTGAAGGTGCTCTCCAAACTCTCCGAGAAGGACAGCGGGTCCTTCCTGGACTGGGAAGGGAACGTTGTGCCCTGGTGAGGTGCTGGCCCGGCCTCGTGCCTGGATCCTGGCAGTGGCCCCTCTGCTGCTGCCTGACCTGTGTTTCACCCTCAATAAACCCATGTCTGACAGCACCAATGCTCTTGGCTCTGACTTTGAGCGCAGCAGTCTCTGTCACAGATGTGAGACCACAGAGTTGCAACAGACATAGACACATGAGAGAGTGTATGCATATACAGAGAGAGTAAATAAGAGATTTAACTAGAGAAATTAGAAGATCAGACAGTTTGGTGGAAATAGAACAGAGCCCTGGAAACATTTGACTTGGAAGGAACGCTTAAATGTCAGCCTGTCCAACTGTCCTCTGACAATCAGGGACACCCACAGCTCCATCAGGTGCTCGGAACCATCCAGCCTGACCTGGGATATCTGCAGGGACATGGCAGCCATCATCTCTCTGGGCAGCCTGTGCCAGTGCTTCACAGCCCAGCCTAAACCTCCTCTCTTTTTGTTTGAAACCATTTCCCCGTTGTGATATCACAACAGACCCTGCTAAATTGGCTGCAGAAAGTGGCACCTCTGCTTTCTCACTCCTCCATCAAGCAGAGCCGCAGGGAGATCCATCTCATGTCATGGTCTCCATGGTTGCTTTCTCCAATCTGTGTCTTGACACTTTTGGGCTTCTGGCTTCTTAATTTGGCCTCAATGTCCCATTACTGGGCAATTCTATGAGGTACACTTGATGGAACAAGCTATCTCACTCGCGCATATCCTCACTCAGGAGTATAAGACCAGGTTGAGTTCACACGAACCCTTCTCCTTTTTAATTCCACTTTGTGTCCCTGCACATTGTTTATGGCTACTTCAATTGCTTCATAATCATGAGGCACTGGAAAAAAGCCTTGACCACGAACCTCTGAAGGAGCACATACTTACCTTCCACACAACTTAAAGCAGAATTTGCCTTAAAAAATCAAACTGGTTTTTGCCCTTTGCAATGATAGCTCTCAGTCAGGAGCTGTGTCCCAGACAGTTCAAAGCATTTAAGAGACTGCAAACAGAGACAAGGGTTTGTGCAAGCCCTTGGGGGGTGGAGGGGGCTGTCCGCTCAGTAAGCTATAAGCATTTGGGCATTGAACAAACAGTGCGCACGGGAGCAGAAGTAGGAGAAGCAACATGGGAGAGCTGCGTGTCCGCTCCGCTCTGGTGACTGGGGCCAACCGGGGAATCGGCCTGGGCTTTGTCCAGCACCTGCTGGCATTGCCAAACCCACCTGAGTGGGTCTTTGCAGGCTGCCGGGATCCCAAGGGACAGCGAGCGCAGGTGAGGCTGGGCTGGAGCTGAGGTGGGGGACAGCAGGGCTGCTGCAGGAGGGGGGATGTGGGAGGGTCTCCACCAGGGAGCTGCAGCCCTGGACCTCAGGCACAGGAGAACTGGGGTGGGATGCAAGCAACGGAGCTGCTGCCACTGCCTGGCACCGTGTGCCCCAGGGCTGGAGGCAAAGGGCTGGTGTTTGCCTTGCTGGGAAGGGTGCAATGAGTGCCCTGTAAAGTGTACAGGATGTGCAGAGACACATTTACAGGGAGTGGGACACCCCAAGCAGCCAAGCAGCGCAAGCAGCCCAAGCAAGGCACTGGACATGAGAGGATGCCAGAGGAGGTTTAGGTTAGATGTAAGAAAAAAGTTTTCCCATCAGAGTGGTCTGGCACTGGAATGGCTGCCCAGGGAAGTGGTGGAGTCACCATCCCTGACAGTGTTCAAGAGGCATTTGGATGAGGAGCTACGAGAGATGGTTTAGTGCTCATGGTAGCAATGGTGATGGGAGGACAGTTGGACTAGATGATCTTGTAGGTCATTTCCAAACATGTGATTCTATGATTCCATGATTCAGGTGAAGGTCAAGAGAAAGTACAATACATCCTGCCCCTTTGCACCCATGTAGTCCCTTCACTAGCAGGAGCTGCAGAAATTGGCCTCCAAGCACCCCAACCTGGTCATCGTCCCGCTCGGTAGGTGACACAGCTGGAGCACAAGGCTGCCTCCCTGGGCTCCCTGCTCTGCCAGCACACCGTCCTCCCCCATCCCTGGTGCAGGGCTCTGTCCCAGCACTGTGCCTGCTGGCAGACACCGAGGGCAGCGGGCGCTCACCTCCCCACCTCGCCTCTGCAGAAGTCACCGATCCCGCCAGCATCAAGGCGGCCGCAGCCAGCGTTGGGGAGCGCCTCAAGGGCTCGGGGCTGAACCTCCTCATCAACAACGCTGGGATCTTAAAGGGAAACACGCTTGACAATGAAACACTGAAGGACATGGCCGAGGTGTACACCACCAACACCATCGCACCTCTGCTGCTCAGCCAGGTAATGTGCTCACCCACAGCTCCAGGAACATCCCTGTACTGCATCCCTGAGGTCCTCAATGCAGGAAGGATGGGGCCCGTGGGACAGGGCCCTCCTCTACTCTCTCCCTGATGAGTTCTTACCCTGGTGTCAGGTCCTTCACGCTCCAAGGTCTCTTCCTGTCAGAAGTAGGTGCTCAAACCAGCCCTGGAAAGGCTGAGCACACGATGCTCTTTCCTGGTTGGGACGTGTCAGTGGATTGCAGAATACGGCACCTTGGAGTTTGAGTCCACTCACTGTGAGATGGTAACAGTGCAGAGGTACAGGCCATGCCAGAGAGCAGAGTATCATGATCTGCCAGGAGAACAAGAATTTGCACTCTGCCTTTCTTCTGAGCCCTGATGGGTGGCTGAGTGCTTTTGGTGGCTGCTTGCTGGTACTGTCCAATGTTCCTCCTTGGAGATGCTCAGAAGTCACCTGGACATGGTCTTCGGCAATGGGCTCTTGGTGACTCTGCTTGGATAGGGGAGGTTGCACCAGATGATCCACAGAGATATCTGCAAACAACAACTGTTCTCTGATTCTGCTCCTCTGATATGACCTGCTATGGAAGGAAACATGCCCACCCACTGAGCCTCCTCTGTGCTTTTCCTTCCGGTCGCCACAGGCGTTCCTGCCTCTGCTGAAGAAGGCAGCCCAGGGGAGCCCAGGCTCAGGTGTGAGCTGCAGCAAGGCACCCACTGTCAACATTTCCAGCACTGGGGGTTCAATCAAAGAAGGCAGCCGGGCTCCAGGGCACAGCCTGGGCAGCCCTTGGGCACACACGCCTGCGTTTCTCCCTCTGCCCTGCAGCCCCCACTGACGGTGGACGCGAGCGTAGGAGGGATGCTGAAGGTGCTCTCCAAGCTCTCCGAGAAGGACAGCGGGTCCTACCTGGACTGGGAAGGGAACGTTGTGCCCTGGTGAGGTGCTGGCCCGGCCTCGTGCCTGGATCCTGGCAGTGGCCCCTCTGCTGCTGCCTGAGCACTGCTAATTCCTCAATAAAACCATATCTGACAACAGCAAGGCTGCTGATTCTCTGTGAACACAACAGGCTCTGTGGAACTCCATGGAGAGCAGCCACGTCCCAGGTGTGTTCCATTCCTCATCTTTGTGCATCAGTATCCTGTGCTCCCAATCACAGCCACTGCCAGGCATCATCACAAGCAACAGATGTCACTGCTGGAAATGTCCCTTCAGGGAGTGAATGGAATTGGCATCAGACTCTGTCTTCAAAGCTGTGGGCAGCCCCAGGCTGGAAGGGCCAGGCTCTGACCAACACGGCCACCTCATAAGGGCCCAGGCAGTCAGGGAAACAAAGCAGAGAGCAGTCACTGCAGGCACAGTTGGGGTGCAAGGTGCTGCATGCCGGGGTTGGGAATGCGTTACAATCATTGAACGTACTGATGTCAGAAGTATGAAATATCAGAGAGTTTGACTAAGCAGGTTATTACACAAAAGGAAAAATAGATAGAGTCCATAACCTTGTCCCAGGCTCACTGTAAAACGTCAAAGCAGGGATCTCCAGAAAGAAAACCGTCCCCACTGGCAGTCAGCTCTTAAATGGGTCTGGGAGAGGTGCAGCCAGGCTCCACCCCTTCCAGTAGCACAGGTGAATGCCTTCACCTGTGCTCCCAGCAGTGACTCATTGCTCACCTCAGGTGATCAATCAGAGGTTCAGGCATGATTCAGCAATTCCCATGCACTGCGGAGTGCTGCCTATGTCCCTGGGTGGGTGCTGGTGACATGGGGGCTCAGCTGGTGTCCCCTGGGCAAGCAGTTGCCTTCCCAGTGGAGGAACGTGCCAGAGGTCCCTTGTGGACGGCTGTCTCCTTCACCAAGCTGCCCAGAGCCACAGTCCTGCACGCTCTGCTCCACCATCGCGTGTGTCTGCTGTAGGGGACAAGGACCTGAATGACCACTGTGGCCCAGGGTGGGCAGAGAGCTGAGTTGACCAACCAGGACGGAGTTTGGACTCAGGGTATGGAAGGTTTTGACCGTCAAGGTCACAAGTCCAGCCTGATTTACCAAATCCCATCACTAAACTGTGTCCCCAAGTGTCCCATTCACACATCTCCTTCATAACTCAGTGATGGGGAATCCACCGCTTTCCTGGTCAGCCCATTCCAATGTTTGACAGCTCTCTCAACACAGCATGAGTCCGCCAACACAAATACCAGTACTGGGCCATTTGCTTGCAAGAAAGGAAAGCAGAGAACACCAACTTGTGGCCATCTGAGCAACAATCTGACTGCGACAGACAGGGAAAGGGGAATGAGATCACCTCAGACTGGTTGATGCATGGCTGCGATCTGCTACACCCATCTGGCTTGAGATGCAGGTGCAGCAGCTCAGTGGAAGTCCTGCAGACCCACGGGGCATCGTGTCTCCTTCCCACTTGCTGCTTCCACTGTCTGCACACAGCAAGGCTTCTCCTGACCAGGGCTGCTGCTGGCTTCTGATTTAGGGGGTCCAGGCATCACCAGACAGCCAGACTATAATTAAAAAGCAAAAAGCCATTTGTCACTTGGATAGGCTGGCTCCCAGCTGGCAGCTTCATCCTGGACTGTTCAAAGAACGTGATAAATTGTACCGATGGCAAATGGTTTGCGCAAGCCCCGTGTGGGTGGGGTGGAAGTTCAGAATGCTATAAGAAGCATTAGGGTGATGAACAAATGTGAGCTGGAGCAGGAGAAGCAACATGGGAGAGCTGCGTGTCCGCTCCGCTCTGGTGACTGGGGCCAACCGGGGAATCGGCCTCGGGCTCGTCCAGCACCTGCTGGCATTGCCAAACCCACCTGAGTGGGTCTTTGCAACTTGTCGCGATCCCAGGGGACAGCGAGCGCAGGTGAGGCTGGGCTGGAGCTGAGGTGGGGGACAGCAGGGCTGCTGCAGGAGGGGGGATGTGGGAGGGTCTCCACCAGGGAGCTGCAGCCCTGGACCTCAGGCATAGGAGAACTGCAGTGGGATGCAAGCAACGGCGTGCCCAGGGCTCAAGAAGGGAGCTGCTGCCGCTGCCTGGCACCGTGTGCCCCAGGGCTGGAGGCAAAGGGCTGGTGTTGGCTGAGCAGCTCAGAGTGCGACACAAGGCTCACATCAGCCGTCTTCTACAGGAGCTGCAGAAATTGGCCTCCAAGCACCCCAACCTGGTCATCGTCCCGCTCGGTAGGTGACACAGCTGGAGCACAAGGCTGCCTCCCTGGGCTCCCTGCTCTGCCAGCACGCCGTCCTCCCCCATCCCTGGTGCAGGGCTCTGTCCCAGCACTGTGCCTGCTGGCAGACACCGAGGGCAGCGGGCGCTCACCTCCCCACCTCGCCTCTGCAGAAGTCACCGATCCCGCCAGCATCAAGGCGGCCGCAGCCAGCGTCGGGGAGCGCCTCAAGGGCTCGGGGCTGAACCTCCTCATCAACAACGCTGGGATCTTAAAGGGAAACACGCTTGACAATGAAACACTGAAGGACATGGCCGAGGTGTACATGACCAACACCATCGCACCTCTGCTGCTCTGCCAGGTAATGTGCTCACCCACAGCTCCAGGAACATCCCTGTACTGCATCCCTGAGGTCCTCAATGCAGGAAGGATGGGGCCCGTGGGACAGAGCCCTCCTCTACTCTCTCCCTGCTGAGTTCCTGCCCTGGTGTCAGGTCCTGCACATTTCAGTTCCCACTCAGGTCCCTTGCTCTCAGGAGTAGGTGTTCAAATCAGTGCAGAATGGGCTGAGCTCAAGATGCCCAATTGCAGTTGGGACCAGGAGGCAGGCTGAAGCATTTGGAGCCTGGGGCCACAAGATAAGAGTGCAGAGGTACAGGGCATGCCAGAGAGCAGAGTATCGTGATCTGAGCCAGGAGAACAAGAACTTGCACCCTGCCTTTCTTCTGAGCACTGATGGGCGGTTGAGTGTTGATACTGGCTGATTGCTGGTACTGTCCAATGTCCCTCCTTGGAGATGCTCAAAAGTCACCTGGACGTGATCGTGGGCAATGGGCTCTTGGTGACTCTGCTTGGGTAGGGGAGGTTGCACCAGATGATCTACAGAGATATCTGCAAACAACAACTGTTCTCTGATTCTGTTACTCTGATATGATCTACTATCGAAGGGAACAGGCTCATACAATGAGCCTCCTCTGTGCATGCTTCTCCTTTCGCTCCCCACAGGCATTCCTGCCACTGCTGAAGAAGGCAGCCCAGGGGAGCCCAGGCTCAGGGATGAGCTGCAGCAAAGCAGCCATTGCCAACATTTCCAGCAGATCGGGTTCAATCAAAGAAGTCTACTTATGGGAAGGCGTGCAAGCTGTCTGTTACCGCTGCAGCAAGGTATGTGCTATGATCATTTTCCCCTCTGTTAATGACCTCAGGACCCCTCGAGTATATCATCTCTGAAAGTGTCTGCATCTCTCTGCTGTGGCTGAGCTCCTGACTTTTCATACACCTCTCTCACAGCACATTGCCCCAGTTCCCACCTAATCCCTGTGCTCTCTCCACAGGCTGCTCTCAACATGCTCACCAGGTGCCAGTCCATGGGGTACCGCGAACACGGCATCCTCTGTGTCACTTTCAATCCTGGCTGGGTGCAGACAGACATGGGAAAAGAAGGAGGAGACAAGGTAGGAGCTTCCCCACGTTGGGTCCATGCACAGCCTGTGCTGGTCTCCCACGGAGGCTGCTGTCTCCCGGAGCCCTGCACCAAGACCCCCTCAGGGTGCTGCTCCGTCAGCACCATGGCAGCTCTCCCTGCCCTGGGAGCCCTGCGCAGCGCCAGCCCCGGCTCCTGGCAGCCCCGCCGCCCGCCTTCCCAGCTCTCACCCTCCTCCCAGGGCTCTGCTTCCCCCTGGTCCCGGCCGCTGCCTTCCCGCAGCCGGGCTCCAGGCCACAGCCTGGGCAGCCCTTGGGCACACACGCCTGCGTTTCTCCCTCTGCCCTGCAGCCCCCCGTGACGGTGGACGTGAGCGCAGCAGGGATACTGAAGGTGCTCTCCAAACTCTCTGAGAAGGACAGTGGGTCCTTCCTGGACTGGGAAGGGAACGCTGTGCCCTGGTGAGGTGCTGGCCCGGCCTCGTGCCTGGATCCTGGCAGTGGCCCCTCTGCTGCTGCCTGACCTCTGCTTGCTCTTCAATAAAACCATATCTGTGAACAGCAAAGCTCTTGTCTCCATCTCTATCCACAACGACCTCTGCTCCATGCTTGGAGCCCATGGAGGGCAGCCACTTCCCAGGGGTGTTCCACTCCTCAATTTTGTGCATCAGCATCCTCTGCTCCCAAGCACTGTCACTTTCAAGTATCTCAATAAGAGTCAGCTCTCATTGCTGGAAATGTTCCCTGCAGGAGGGAAAGTGACTGGGGCCACCACCCAGCTCCGAGGTGTTGCAGTGCCTGGGGCTGGGAACATCAAGGGTGAATTGGGTGTGCAGAATCTCTCCATGAAGTTCTCCCCATGCCGCCAGCGGTTTGGGGTCATAGAGTGAGATGCAGTTGGTCTACAGGGCACTGCACAGCCACAAATGGAGCAGACAATGGCAAGACGCTGCTGCTCAGTCCATTGGCAGACAGAGGTAACAAGGGGCGGCTGAGCTGGCATCACCTGGGCACTCAGCTCCTTTCCCAGTTCATGGTGGCATCAGAGGTCTCCTGTGACAGGCTGCCCAACGCCCCCAAAAAGCCCTGCGAGCTGCTGGGTGCATGTGGGCCAAAGGGGAACGTTCTTCAGCCAGAAAGCCTGTGGAGGTGGGCAGTGGGTGGAAAAAAGGGGTAAAGAAAACAAGGGCATGGCCCTCTCTTGTATTCTGAGTGCTCAACACTGCATGTCCACACAGCACCCCTGTATTTTTCTCAGGCAACATGTCCCATTTCTGTGGTCCATACACGTCCTTCTTTTCTCTCAGTCTGATCAGCAGGTCCTTGCCCCATCCTGCCGGCTTCCTGCCTCCTCTGCTTGTTTTCCTGCATGGAGGACACAGAGCTCTTGTGCTCTCTGCAAACTGTCCTGAAGACCGGCTCGTTTTCCTCCACTCCTTTGCCAGTAAGGTCATAATCCCAGGGGATCTCACCCAGTAGTTCTTTAAGTAGCCCAAACTTCGCTCTCATGACGCTCGGGGTCCTGACTTTGCTTTCTGCGAGGCCCGTCCTCCTCTTGTAAGAGATTCTTCTGTTAACTTCTGTGTCTCAAAGCTTGCTGGGGACACAGATGGACTTGTTCAAGTCCAGACAAGTCCCGAGCAAGGCTTGTGAAATCCTTTGTCTGGGGGAATGCAGATGGACAAGGCCAGGGGCAACGAGAGCGAGATGAGCTGCAGCTCAATAGCTGTGAAGTGCTCCTTTGTGTGGACCTCTCTGCGGATGATGGCCATCTCAGGGGGTACTCAATGACTCTTGCTCAAGGCCCATCCTTGTCACTTGGCAGGAGAACAAGGAGGATAAAAGAGGAACTGAAAACCACCAGGATAGGTTTCTGACAACAGATTCCTCATGAAGAAGAACGGAGGTTTCTGACAACAGATTCCTCATGAAGAAGAACGGAGAGAGAGGAATTCCTGAAGATAGAGGGATTCCTGAAGATTGAGGTGATTCCTGCATACTGTTGAACTCTCCTGAGCCTGCTGCCTGACCGCTGTTGCTGCTTCAAGAATTGGCTCCTCGCCTTCCTCGTCGACCTGCCTGCTGCCCAGTGCCGGCCACGCTGCTGCTCCCCGTCTTCTGCTGCGTTCTGCCCGGGACCTTCAAACGCCGTGCAACGGGACGCTGCTGGATCCTGCTGCTGACTGTCCCCGCTTTACGCAACTCCTGCTTCTTTTCCATCTTTTCTATTGCACTCCTTCCCTTCCCCGTCTCCCTGATGAGGTCTTAGTAATAAACTGGATGCAACAACATAGGAACCGTTGTTTCTTAATCTCACACCGGGTATACAGATAGTAAAGAACCTCATCTCCCTCCTATAAATTGGAGCGAGACACCTCTGCATCACAGACTCTCCCAGGAAGCACGGCCACTACAGCCCAGAGCGCCTCCCACCTTCAGCTCCTGAATGAGCTCCTCTGGGTTGGTGACAACCACGTCCCAGAAGGGTTCTTTTAGGACTGCTTTGCCGAATACCCAGGCCAGGAAGGTACCCTCAACACACTCCAGGCCTCTTCTATGGGATTTTTTGCATCCTGCCCTGTTGCTTTCCCAGCAGATGTCTGGGGCTTGAAATCCTCCACCACATCGCCCCACTCAGTCAATTTGTAGCAGACCCTGACCGCTAGCTGCCCTTTATTGTCTGGTCCCTGTTTGTCACCCACCAGCTCACAACCTGATGGTGGCTGCTCCTCAGAGCAGCTCTTCACACGCTACCAACCCACTAACACACAGGGCAGTTCCCCCACCCGTCTCTCCCTGCCCATCTCTTCCGAAAAACTTGTAGCCCTCAGTGGCTGCGCTCCAGCCACGTGAATTATAGCTCATCTGTGACCACATACCATGACTCTCAAAGCCCTCTCGAGGATCACACGATCCAAAGCCACGATCGAGACACCATCCACGCAGCCAGTCACTTACCTGACCCATTCTGCTCCTTCTTTCCAGGTCCCAGCTGCCAAATAGGAGCAGAGAGGTGAACACTACCTGCATTCTTGATTACCTCAAGGTCCTCCCAAGAGATGTAAAGTCTCTTTCAACATTTGGCAGTGTCATTGCCACACCTCCTGAGAACCACGAGGATCCTTGCGCTACAGACCCTGCAATAGAGCCTGGTGAAAATGGCACCCCTGCTTTCTCACTGGCCCACCAAGCAGTGCCACAGCAAGGCATGTCTCATGTCATGGTCTGTACGGTTGCTTTCTCCGTTCTGGGCCATGGCGTATTTGTGTTCCTGGCTTCCCCATTTGCCTTACTTTCCAAGTATCAAGGTGCTCCATGAAGCACACTCGATGCACGTGCCTTCTCACGTGCCTTCACCCATCGGCATAATTCAGTTGGGTTCACATGAACACATCCCTGCACGTTTCAAGGCCACATTTTAAGTTTGTGTTTCTGCACATTCTTTATGGCTGCCTCTCTCTCTCCATCTCCTGTGTGGGACAGGAAAAAGGGCCTGGATCAGGTGCTATTTCACCACATACAAACTCACCTTCCAAACTCCTAACCAGCACTTTGCCTTAAAAAGCAAAGCCATTTTTGCCCTCTGTAAGGCTGGCTCCCAGCCAGGAGCTGGGTCCGTGTCATTTCAATGAGCTGCAGATGTTAAACAGAGAAGCACAGGTTTGTGCAAGCCCAATGTGGGTGGGGTGTAAGTCCAGCAAGCTATAAGAAGCATTAAGGTGCTGAACAAACAACATATGCAATAGGAGAAGCAGGAGAAGCAACATGGGAGAGCTGCGTGTCCGCTCCGTTCTGGTGACTGGGGCCAACCGGGGAATCGGCCTCGGGCTCGTCCGGCACCTGCTGGCATTGCCAAACCCACCTGAGTGGGTCTTTGCAACTTGTCGCGACCCCAAGGGGCAGCGAGCGCAGGTGAGGCTGGGCTGGAGCTGAGGTGGGGGACAGCAGGGCTGCTGCAGGAGGGGGGATGTGGGAGGGTCTCCACCAGGGAGCTGCAGCCCTGGACCTCAGGCACAGGAGAACTGGGGTGGGATGCAAGCAACGGCGTGCCCAGGGCTCAAGAAGGGAGCTGCTGCCGCTGCCTGGCACCGTGTGCCCCAGGGCTGCAGGCAAAGGGCTGGTGTTGGCTGAGCAGCTCAGAGTGCGACACAAGGCTCACATCAGCCGTCTTCTACAGGAGCTGCAGAAATTGGCCTCCAAGCACCCCAACCTGGTCATCGTCCCGCTCGGTAGGTGACACAGCTGGAGCACAAGGCTGCCTCCCTGGGCTCCCTGCTCTGCCAGCACGCCGTCCTCCCCCATCCCTGGTGCAGGGCTCTGTCCCAGCACTGTGCCTGCTGGCAGACACCGAGGGCAGCGGGCGCTCACCTCCCCACCTCGCCTCTGCAGAAGTCACCGATCCCGCCAGCATCAAGGCGGCCGCAGCCAGCGTCGGGGAGCGCCTCAAGGGCTCGGGGCTGAACCTCCTCATCAACAACGCTGGGATCGTAAGGGCAAACAAGCTTGACAATGAAACACTGAAGGACATGGCCGAGGTGTACACCACCAACACCATCGCACCTCTGCTGCTCTGCCAGGTAATGTGCTCACCCACAGCTCCAGGAACATCCCTGTACTGCATCCCTGAGGTCCTCAATGCAGGAAGGATGGGGCCCGTGGGACAGAGCCCTCCTCTACTCTCTCCCTGCTGAGTTCCTGCCCTGGTGTCAGGTCCTGCACATTTCAGGTCCCACACAGGTCCCTTGCTCTCAGGAGTAGGTGTTCAAATCAGTGCAGAATGGGCTGAGCTCAAGATGCCCATTCCGGTTGGGACCAGGAGGCAGGCTGAAGCATTTGGCACTCTGGAGCCTGGGGCCACAAGATAAGAGAAGAGTGCAGAGGTACAGGGCATGCCAGAGAGCAGAGGATCGTGATCTGAGCCAGGAGAACAAGAACTTGCACTCTGCCTTTCTTCTGAGCACTGATGGGTGGCTGATTGCTGACACCGGCTGATTGCTGGTACTGTCCAATGTCCCTCCTTGGAGATGCTCAAAAGTCACCTGGACGTGGTCTTTGGCAATGGGCTCTTGGTGACTCTGCTTGGGTAGGTATATAATCAATGGATACACAGAGTTTGGCTAAGCAGGTCATTATACAAAAAGAGAATAGATAGAGTGCTTACCTGTATCCTGGCTCACTGTAAAACTGCAAAGGAGGAATCTCCAGAAGAAATCCATTCCCACTGGCATTAAACTCTTAAATGAGTCTAGGAGAGGTGCACCGTGGCCCCATCCCTTTTAACAGCACAGGTGAATTACCACCACCTCTGATCCCAGGGCTGACTCATTGCTTGCCTCAGGTGATCAATCAGAGGTTCAGGCCCTGATTCAGCAGTTCCATGCAGTAGGAGAGATTGGACCAGATGATCTCCAGAGATATCCACAAACAAGTGTTCTCTGATTCTGCTCCTCTGATAGGACCCAGCACAGAAAGAAATGTGCTCTTCCAGTGAGTCTCCTCTGTGCTTCCTCTCTCCTTCCCCTCCCCACAGGCATTCCTGCCACTGCTGAAGAAGGCAGCCCAGGGGAGCCCAGGCTCAGGGATGGGCTGCAGCAAGGCAGCCATCATCAATATTTCCAGCATTGGAGGATCTATCAAAGAAATGTATTTATGGGAAGGCATACAAGCTGCCTGTTATCGCTGCAGCAAGGTATGTGCCATGATGAGCCTGAGCCAACCTTCTCCTCTTGGCCAATGATGTAAACAGTCTTCCAGTATCAGCTCCTGACAGTCCTTACATCTCACTCGCTGCACATTGCCCCAGTCCCCACCTGATCCCTGTGCTGTCTCCACAGGCTGCTCTCAACATGCTCACCAGGTGCCAGTCCATGGGGTACCGCGAACACGGCATCCTCTGCGTCGCTTTCCATCCTGGATGGGTGCAGACAGACATGGGGAGCGCAGCCGGACAAACGGTAGGGGCTTCCCCACGTTGGGTCCATGCACAGCCTGTGCTGGTCTCCCACGGAGGCTGCTGTCTCCCGGAGCCCTGCACCAAGACCCCCTCAGGGTGCTGCTCCGTCAGCACCATGGCAGCTCTCCCTGCCCTGGGAGCCCTGCGCAGCGCCAGCCCCGGCTCCTGGCAGCCCCGCCGCCCGCCTTCCCAGCTCTCACCCTCCTCCCAGGGCTCTGCTTCCCCCTGGTCCCGGCCGCTGCCTTCCCGCAGCCGGGCTCCAGGGCAGCCCTTGGGCACACACGCCTGCGTTTCTCCCTCTGCCCTGCAGCCCCCCGTGACGGTGGACGTGAGCGCAGCAGGGATGCTGAAGGTGCTCTCCAAACTCTCTGAGAAGGACAGCGGGTCCTTCCTGGACTGGGAAGGGAACGTTGTGCCCTGGTGAGGTGCTGGCCCGGCCTCGTGCCTGGATCCTGGCAGTGGCCCCTCTGCTGCTGCCTGACCTCTGCTTGCTCTTCAATAAAACCATATCTGTGAACAGCAAAGCTCTCGTCTCCATCTCTATCCACAACGACCTCTGCTCCATGCTTGGAGCCCATGGAGGGCAGCCACTTCCCAGGGGTGTTCCACTCCTCAATTTTGTGCATCAGCATCCTCTGCTCCCAAGCACTGTCACTTTCAAGTATCTCAATAAGAGTCAGCTCTCATTGCTGGAAATGTTCCCTGCAGGAGGGAAAGTGACTGGGGCCACCACCCAGCTCCGAGGTGTTGCAGTGCCTGGGGCTGGGAACATCAAGGGTGAATTGGGTGTGCAGAATCTCTCCATGAAGTTCTCCCCATGCCGCCTGCGGTTTGGGGTCATAGAGTGAGATGCAGTTGGTCTACAGGGCACTGCACAGCCACAAATGGAGCAGACAATGGCAAGACGCTGCTGCTCAGTCCATTGGCAGACAGAGGTAACAAGGGGCGGCTGAGCTGGCATCACCTGGGCACTCAGCTCCTTTCCCAGTTCACGGTGGCATCAGAGGTCTCCTGTGACAGGCTGCCCAACGCCCCCAAAAAGCCCTGCGAGCTGCTGGGTGCATGTGGGCCAAAGGGGAACATTCTTCAGCCAGAAAGCCTGTGGAGGTGGGCAGTGGGTGGAAAAAAGGGGTAAAGAAAACAAGGGCATGGCCCTCTCTTGTATTCTGAGTGCTCAACACTGCATGTCCACACAGCACCCCTGTATTTTTCTCAGGCAACACGTCCCATTTCTGTGGTCCATACACGTCCTTCTTTTCTCTCAGTCTGATCAGCAGGTCCTTGCCCCATCCTGCCGGTTTCCTGCCTCCTCTGCTTGTTTTCCTGCATGGAGGACACAGAGCTCTTGTGCTCTCTGCAAACTGTCCTGAAGACCGGCTCGTTTTCCTCCACTCCTTTGCCAGTAAGGTCATAATCCCAGGGGATCTCACCCAGTAGTTCTTTAAGTAGCCCAAACTTCGCTCTCATGACGCTCGGGGTCCTGACTTTGCTTTCTGCGAGGCCCGTCCTCCTCTTGTAAGAGATTCTTCTGTTAACTTCTGTGTCTCAAAGCTTGCTGGGGACACAGATGGACTTGTTCAAGTCCAGACAAGTCCCAGCAAGGCTTGTGAAATCCTTTGTCTGGGGGAATGCAGATGGACAAGGCCAGGGGCAACGAAAGCGATATGAGCTGCAGCTCAATAGCTGTGAAGTGCTCCTTTGTGTGGACCTCTCTGCGGATGATGGCCATCTCAGGGGGTACTCAATGACTCTTGCTCAAGGCCCATCCTTGTCACTTGGCAGGAGAACAAGGAGGATAAAAGAGGAACTGAAAACCACCAGGATAGGTTTCTGACAACAGATTCCTCATGAAGAAGAACGGAGGTTTCTGACAACAGATTCCTCATGAAGAACGGCAGGTTTCTGACAACAGATTCCTCATGAAGAAGAACGGAGAGAGGAATTCCTGAAGATAGAGGGATTCCTGAAGGTTGAGGTGATTCCTGCATACTGTTGAACTCTCCTGAGCCTGCTGCCTGACCGCTGTTGCTGCTTCAAGAATTGGCTCCTCGCCTTCCTCGTCGACCTGCCTGCTGCCCAGTGCCGGCCACGCTGCTGCTCCCCGTCTTCTGCTGCGTTCTGCCCGGGACCTTCAAACGCCGTGCAACGGGACGCTGCTGGATCCTGCTGCTGACTGTCCCCGCTTTACGCAACTCCTGCTTCTTTTCCATCTTTTCTATTGCACTCCTTCCCTTCCCCGTCTCCCTGATGAGGTCTTAGTAATAAACTGGATGCAACAACATATGAACCGTTGTTTCTTAATCTCACACCGGGTATACAGATAGTAAAGAACCTCATCTCCCTCCTATAAATTGGAGCGAGACACCTCTGCATCACAGACTCTCCCAGGAAGCACGGCCACTACAGCCCAGAGCGCCTCCCACCTTCAGCTCCTGAATGAGCTCCTCTGGGTTGGTGACAACCACGTCCCAGAAGGGTTCTTTTAGGACTGCTTTGCCGAATACCCAGGCCAGGAAGGTACCCTCAACACACTCCAGGCCTCTTCTATGGGATTTTTTGCATCCTGCCCTGTTGCTTTCCCAGCAGATCGCCCCACTCAGTCAATTTGTAGCAGACCCTGACCGCTAGCTGCCCTTTATTGTCTGGTCCCTGTTTGTCACCCACCAGCTCACAACCTGATGGTGGCTGCTCCTCAGAGCAGCTCTTCACACGCTACCAACCCACTAACACACAGGGCAGTTCCCTCACCCGTCTCTCCCTGCCCATCTCTTCCAAAAAACTTGTAGCCCTCAGTGGCTGCGCTCCAGCCACGTGAATTATAGCTCATCTGTGACCACATACCATGACTCTCAAAGCCCTCTCGAGGATCACACAATCCAAAGCCATGATCGAGACACCATCCACGCAGCCAGTCACTTACCTGACCCATTCTGCTCCTTCTTTCCAGGTCCCAGCTGCCAAACAGGAGCAGAGAGGTGAACACTACCTGCATTCTTGATTACCTCAAGGTCCTCCCAAGAGATGTAAAGTCTCTTTCAACATTTGGCAGTGTCATTGCCACACCTCCTGAGAACCACGAGGATCCTTGCGCTACAGACCCTGCAATAGAGCCTGGTGAAAATGGCACCCCTGCTTTCTCACTGGCCCACCAAGCAGTGCCACAGCAAGGCATGTCTCATGTCATGGTCTGTACAGTTGCTTTCTCCGTTCTGGGCCATGGCGTATTTGTGTTCCTGGCTTCCCCATTTGCCTTAGTTTCCAAGTATCAAGGTGCTCCATGAAGCACACTCGATGCACGTGCCTTCTCACGTGCCTTCACCCATCTGCATAATTCAGTTGGGTTCACATGAACACATCCCTGCACGTTTCAAGGCCACATTTTATGTTTGTGTTTCTGCACATTCTTTATGGCTGCCTCTCTCTCTCCATCTCCTGTGTGGGACAGGAAAAAGGGCCTGGATCAGGTGCTATTTCACCACATACAAACTCACCTTCCAAACTCCTAACCAGCACTTTGCCTTAAAAAGCAAAGCCATTTTTGCCCTCTGTAAGGCTGGCTCCCAGCCAGGAGCTGGGTCCGTGTCATTTCAATGAGCTGCAGATGTTAAACAGAGAAGCACAGGTTTGTGCAAGCCCAATGTGGGTGGGGTGTAAGTCCAGCAAGCTATAAGAAGCATTAAGGTGCTGAACAAACAACATATGCAATAGGAGAAGCAGGAGAAGCAACATGGGAGAGCTGCGTGTCCGCTCCGTTCTGGTGACTGGGGCCAACCGGGGAATCGGCCTCGGGCTCGTCCAGCACCTGCTGGCATTGCCAAACCCACCTGAGTGGGTCTTTGCAACTTGTCGCGACCCCAAGGGGCAGCGAGCGCAGGTGAGGCTGGGCTGGAGCTGAGGTGGGGGACAGCAGGGCTGCTGCAGGAGGGGGGATGTGGGAGGGTCTCCACCAGGGAGCTGCAGCCCTGGACCTCAGGCACAGGAGAACTGGGGTGGGATGCAAGCAACGGCGTGCCCAGGGCTCAAGAAGGGAGCTGCTGCCACTGCCTGGCACCGTGTGCCCCAGGGCTGCAGGCAAAGGGCTGGTGTTGGCTGAGCAGCTCAGAGTGCGACACAAGGCTCTCATCAGCCGTCTTCTACAGGAGCTGCAGAAATTGGCCTCCAAGCACCCCAACCTGGTCATCGTCCCACTCGGTAGGTGACACAGCTGGAGCACAAGGCTGCCTCCCTGGGCTCCCTGCTCTGCCAGCACGCCGTCCTCCCCCATCCCTGGTGCAGGGCTCTGTCCCAGCACTGTGCCTGCTGGCAGACACCGAGGGCAGCGGGCGCTCACCTCCCCACCTCGCCTCTGCAGAAGTCACCGATCCCGCCAGCATCAAGGCGGCCGCAGCCAGCGTCGGGGAGCGCCTCAAGGGCTCGGGGCTGAACCTCCTCATCAACAACGCTGGGATCGTAAGGGCAAACAAGCTTGACAATGAAACACTGAACGACATGGCCGAGGTGTACACCACCAACACCATCGCACCTCTGCTGCTCTGCCAGGTAATGTGCTCACCCACAGCTCCAGGAACATCCCTGTACTGCATCCCTGAGGTCCTCAATGCAGGAAGGATGGGGCCCGTGGGACAGAGCCCTCCTCTACTCTCTCCCTGCTGAGTTCCTGCCCTGGTGTCAGGTCCTGCACATTTCAGGTCCCACACAGGTCCCTTGCTCTCAGGAGTAGGTGTTCAAATCAGTGCAGAATGGGCTGAGCTCAAGATGCCCATTCCGGTTGGGACCAGGAGGCAGGCTGAAGCATTTGGCACTCTGGAGCCTGGGGCCACAAGATAAGAGAAGAGTGCAGAGGTACAGGGCATGCCAGAGAGCAGAGGATCGTGATCTGAGCCAGGAGAACAAGAACTTGCACTCTGCCTTTCTTCTGAGCACTGATGGGTGGCTGATTGCTGACACCGGCTGATTGCTGGTACTGTCCAATGTCCCTCCTTGGAGATGCTCAAAAGTCACCTGGACGTGGTCGTGGGCAATGGGCTCTTGGTGACTCTGCTTGGGTAGGTATATAATCAATGGATACACAGAGTTTGGCTAAGCAGGTCATTATACAAAAAGAGAATAGATAGAGTGCTTACCTGTATCCTGGCTCACTCTAAAACTGCAAAGGAGGAATCTCCAGAAGAAATCCATTCCCACTGGCATTAAACTCTTAAATGAGTCTAGGAGAGGTGCACCGTGGCCCCATCCCTTTTAACAGCACAGGTGAATTACCACCACCTCTGATCCCAGGGCTGACTCATTGCTTGCCTCAGGTGATCAATCAGAGGTTCAGGCCCTGATTCAGCAGTTCCATGCAGTAGGAGAGATTGGACCAGATGATCTCCAGAGATATCCACAAACAAGTGTTCTCTGATTCTGCTCCTCTGATAGGACCCAGCACAGAAAGAAATGTGCTCTTCCAGTGAGTCTCCTCTGTGCTTCCTCTCTCCTTCCCCTCCCCACAGGCATTCCTGCCACTGCTGAAGAAGGCAGCCCA